CAGACGTGTGCTCTTCCGATCTCCCCAAAACCCCAAAACCCCTTAATTTAAATTTGAGTTAAATTTATTAGGAAATTTAAACTATAAAAATAATGATAAAGTTAATCTGATGATGACATAATTCTTATAATTAAGTGTACATTCAAAATCTTCTTGTAAAAACAGCAACTTCAGTTTTTAATCTGTATGTTTTGAATTTGAGATCCCAATATTTGACATAAGAGCGCCTGCATTCATATGGAATTCCTCTTAGATATTCTCTGATCTTTTTACCTTCTTCTTTCTCTCTGTAGCGCATCCAGCAGCGTTCAATTATGAATACAGCTGATTGTTTACTTAACTTGATTTTTTGCTAGCCTGAATTTTATATGGAAGATGCAAATGAAGAGTTGAATTGACTTCCTCCTGATTCTATCTATGGCGCAAAATTTATTAATTATTATGGAGGCAAGTTGTTTAAATCAGAGAGAATTTTTTCCTCCATCAGTTTGCGATATTTCTATTGTTGCTATTTCATTCTAATGAATGCTTAAATCTTAATTGATCTCTTTCTAAAATTAAGGTATCTCCGTCTATGAACCCACATGTGAATCGTAGATTCTACTTTTTGGATATCTTCATTTATTTGAAGCAGTTGTTATATCAGAATTTTTTCAATCATCTGCTCTGTGATTTCATCACTTATTTCTTCCTCCTCCATTTAATTTCTTAGTCTAATTGCTTGTTTTAATTTCAGTCTCCTAAATTCACCTTCACCTTCTTATTTTTATTCTTATTTCTACTGTTTCTTGGGTGAATTTTTCTTATACTTTTACTCTTCTTCAACCTTAATAGCTTTCTCTTCCTCCTAAAAATTATTATAATTTTCTTGATCATAATCTTCTCCATAATCATGATTAATTTTTAGATTTTCAGAATCTAACCTAAATCTATGACTATTTAACCTACTTTCATCTAGGTCTTTAAGGGTAGTTTCCTCAAGTTCCTCTTCCTTTTCCTCAACAGTTTGTAGGACTGGGGTCTTTTTTACTCTAATATTCCTTTTTTTGCTCAATTTCCCACCAATTGAGTTTTTAGGTTTGGGAGTTGTATAACTTGGTGTAAGTATTGCATCTTTATCATAATTTTCGATCAAAGAAGTTAAGGCTTTAAAATTCTCCTCAGCTTTTTTATCTTACCACATGTAGAGTACTTTTCTTAGTCTTCTTTTAATTTCATCTACTGCCTCTAAGAAGTAAGCTCGCTTTCTTAATGATTCCTTCAACTATAATCCATAACTCATTAGGTAAAACCTATCTCTGACCTCCAAATACTTTTCAATCTCTACTTTCTTTTATTCGAAGTTCAAAGCTAAAGCATCAGCACTATCATTCATTGTTTCATTCTAATTCAATTTTCCATCTTGTTTTGAGTCCTATAATAGCTTTTCAGATTATGAGTCATTAATTATCTCACTTGATGTATATTAAGTGCTAGACTTATACTATGATTAGCTCATGTTTGAAGAGGAGCCCTCAATAGTTGACTAAGAAATCTTCCCATTCTAAATTTTACTTCCATACTTCTTTCCTTTCTTGCCTTAACTTTAATACTTGATAGTATCATCAACATTTTCAAGGAGTGTATTTTCATCATTTTTATTCTGAGAATTTTCTCTTCTTTATTTATCACGATCAGACTAAGAGCTGTTCAATTCTTTTCTTATATTTGCTTTTTTATTATTCTTTATACTGAATTGCTTATCACTAATGGCAGCTAATACGTCCTTATTTGGCATGTTTGGTTTATTATTAGTTCTTATCCTCACACCTTTTGCTGAATCCTATCTTTAAATTGCATCAAGTTTATTGGTATTCTAAGAGTATTTTTTCTGCTTATCATTGACACTTCTTTTTCGCTGACCTTAATTTTAAAGAGGATCTAATGACTTCTTAGTTGGATTAAGACTCTCATATAGCTTACTTTCCTCATCATCACTAGACATCATATTACCCATTATTTCTTGTAATTTTTATCTTTGCTTTTCGTGATCGATTGGAGCCATTAATTTGCCTCCCATTGGCCCCTTACTTGGCATTCTTGGTGGTTTATTTTGACTTACATCATATTAATTTCCTATTTTAGCGAGTTATGGATTTTACTGCTAAATAATGGACATGTTAGTCCTATCAGAGGAAAGAGCACCATTATTCCTTTCCCTCCCAGCTGAGAATCTTTTTTTCATTGAGTTGTTCATCATTGGATTGTCATAAGCATTTGAATTAGAGCCCTTATCATAACTATCATTCATTTAATTATTATTGTTGCTATAGCTATTGGCATTCATCTGAATTTGCTATTATATTTACTGTTATTTCATTCCACTACCATTGTTGACTTCAGCTTATGCAATGCTATTCTACATTTAAAGTTGGTGCAGCTATAGCTAAGCCTTTAGAAACTCCTGATTTGTATTTGTCATAGAACGCTATAGATTTTTGAGAGTAGGTCCATTTTATAGTAATTGCTATGGAATGGATGAGTTTGCTATTGGTATTGATTTATTCGTTCTATCTTTCATTAATTTAAAATTAAATTTAATATACTTATAATTATGAATTTGTAAAAATTAAATATCACAACAAGGAGAAGTTTGAAAATATTTTTAATAACCTTGCTTATCACAGTCTAAGTTTAATCAAATATACTGAAGATTGATAATTAGAAGATCAAAGGGAGCTAAGTTATTAATCTTAATCACATGCATAACAACAAAGATATTGATTATGAAATCCTTGATAATAGCTAAATGAGCAAAGACGAACCAAACTAATTTTAATACATTTTCAGCCATTATAGCAAGTATGGTAAATATAAAGACTCTTAGAACTCATTGATCAACGAATAAGATATTGGTTCAATCAAATTTAAATGTAAGTTATAATTAAATTGATGTCCAAATTATAGTAAGAGGATCATTTGATTTTGCAAACATCAAAAATATTCAAAAGATTTTCTTTATGGTCTCAATGAATAGTCAAGAGTCGATTGCTAAACAAAGAAATATCCTAAGCTAAAATGTATATAAGTATCTCAAGCTAATTATAGTGTAGATATGCAGGTATAATGGGGATGGAAATTTTACATTAGATCTTTTCAGTAACAACTTCTATGAATACTTAGGAATTCAGTTATCATAGGAGGAAACTTTAGTACAGATCGAAAAGGATTTCAAAATTAAGAAGGAGGGATTATACAGCGTATATTTGGCATTCTGCTCTACAACAGATGAATACATACCTTAAAAAGAGATTGACTACGAGAAATCTCTCAGAATAATAGAAGCCTCTGTCTCATTTTATAATGTAAATCACGGCTATTTATCAGCTGAAAATTACCTTAAGTTGAAAGTAATTTCTACCCTTTAAAATTTTAGTTCTACTCGGCTTTATTGTTTTTCTTAATACTATTTGGAGTTTATTGGCTATACTTTGCATTTAAGTCATTCTAGTATTTAAATATATACTAAACTCAACTACTACTTATCTACTCAGTGGGACTTCTTAATTTTATTTTCTAGTATATGTAATTTGAATATATAAATCGTATTGGAAAACCACATAAAGTATTCGAAATATTTGCTTGCGCGACTTAGATAATCAGGTCATTCTAAATTTTCTTGTTCATACTAATGCTAACTAGTGGCTATTAGATTATTAGTAGTTCACTTAAGAAGGAGACTATGATAATGATAAATGGTTTCTTAATTTCACACCTAATTCTAAATTCTTTATATATAGCTTTAAAGGAAAGATTTGAGGAATATGGAAAAGTTGTGAGAATATTAGCCATACCTCAAGTTATTATTATTATCTGCATTCTTTACATATCTCACAATGGATATTATAAGATCTTAGGGAGACTTGTTGTCTTTAGAGAAACATATAAAATTAAGGTATTTCGAAGACTCAGGAAAGTAGCGAATTTTACTTTGATGGTTATCTTGATATTCAGTATTTTCATCTTGTAAGGATTAAAAGTATTACGTAATTAAAAACTTTAGATATCTTTAGATTGAATTCACTAGACAATAATAAATCTTTAGATTTTGGCAGTATGAATGGCTCAAAGATTTTAATGGAGGGGAAGGAGGCTTAATTGATATTCTATTCACTCTAGATCTATTCTTTATAATGATAATAATGTGTCCTAGCGAAGAAAGTCTTAAATTTAGATTTGATCCTGTTTTGGAATTGGATTGCTATGAGTAAGAAAGAGAAAACGATTTCTACAATGTTGGAAATGGATCTGATGTTTATGATATGGATTAAGGAAGCATGATAGAGTTGTCAACAATTCGTTGACCCTAGTGATTTAATTAAATTAGATAGCTTATAAATATATGAATGGCTTTAATAATTATATAAATAAGAGTCTATTTCATTGAGAAGTATTGTTGATTTAATATTTATGAAAACTTCTCAGTGAGTGATTCATTTGCATGAAGCGAAGTCATCAACTAATTCTTTGCATGATACCATCTTTGAGGTATCCTTAACATCAAAGTTACTCTTTAAGCAATCATAAGCTCCTTTGTATTAGTTTTAGCAAGATGCACTTGTGTGTTTAACCCTATTAGAAAATATTAGAGTCTACTCAATGTTTTTGAATTCTTAATTTGACTTCTTAATTTGGGCTTATTTCTGAAAACTTACATATCATGATAGCATTGTAGAAAGTTTGCGACTTTACCTTCGCAAAGTTCAGGGTCTCCAAGTCTGCCAGCTGGTGTGGCTCTACATAAAACAAAGTCTCCTCTCTCTTTAGCACAGAAGCTTGCACCCTTGAAGCCATAAATAAGGTTCTTCACACTAAAGTTAGAAGTTAAATTTGATAAAAGCTGTCTAAAATTTACGTTGAATCAGTATCGACTCCTTACATCTTTAAACTAATAATATTTTATTAATAATTTATTTTGATTTCCAAATTATGAGCTCACCATTGGTTTTGCGGGGTTTTGGGGTTTTGGGGTTTTGGGG